CTCCACGATCGAGTCCAACCTGTGCCTGACCCCACCTTGTCACTNGATAGTGGGGCGGGGAGGGGCTGAGGGGTCGGCCCTGAGGTGTGGGGGAAGGCGGGGGTCGGCCCTGACCCGGGTTTGAGGTGTTGGATGGGATCAAATCTTAGTAGGATTCTGGAGAAGGAAGAGGAGAAAATGTTTCTCAGCCTTCCTAGCCCTTAACGTGAGTCTGGCGTGGAGCTGTTCCCCTGCATGTGTGGCTTCTGCTGGACTGCAAGGAACGTGAATAAATGCCCATGGTTTGTGATAAAGACGTTTCCTATCTGTAGTGTGATAATGCAGGGAGATGGTAATAGAAAAAAAAAAAAATCAGCCTGCAACAGCTTTGCCAACCTTGCTTCTGACAGGGGTTTTGGTTCTGATACTACAGTCTTCTGTCAGAAAGTACATGACCCGTGATATTGGTCTCCTCTCTTGAGCTGTTTCACTTTCCTGGAGACCTTGGATTCAGGAGCTGCTTTGTTTTCCAGGAAAAATTTCAGTTTCCCATAATGGGCTGCAGTTCTTGGTCTGAAGATGAAAACCCAAGCAGTTTTCAACACACCTGAGCATAATATTTGATTTATTTAATCTGAAGTGACACCATTATTCAATTTAAGATTGTCTCTTGGTTTTGAGACTGAGCAGTGTGTTGTAACAAAGCTTCATGGAAATAAATGTGCAGTTTTAACACTTTTAGAAAACTACTCTCTATGGAAGTGTGTACAATTAAGAGGCAGGTGGTCAAGGAGCTCGATCCTGCTTAATCTTCCCTTTGTGATAAGGATCTGTGCAGGGATGAATATTTCCAGTGGGACAAACACTGCTAAGTCAAATACTTCTGGGTGTGATTGAAGAGGCTGATAGAATTCAGTGGGGAAAAGCAAACTGGAAAATCTCTATTTAAAGACCCCAGTGGAAATGCAAAGCTCTTTTAATGTTTAGAGTTAGGGACAGAGAGAAGGGAAATACAAAGTGTCTGGAGTCTGTACTGAAGCATTTTTAGACCTGTTTTTAAATTCAGGTACTAAGAATTATGAGATTCTTCACCTGTTTCTCTGGAGATGTGTCTGAATTTGGGGTTGTAAGGAGAGGGGTCAGATGCTTTTTATCCTCTTTTCTCATAAATTTGGGTTGAAATTGGAAGAACAGGGTAGAGGTGAGGGACTAATGGAATGTTCCCTGTCCAAGGCAGAGGGGTTGGATTAAGATGAGCTTCAAGGTCCCTTCCAACCCAAACCACTCTGAAATTCTGACTCCAGGTCTGCTTCAGAATCCAGTGAAAACCTCAGACTCCCACGAACTCAAATGTGCTTTCACTCAGGCAAGCCTCAGTGCTCACTTCCCCCCAGACTTTAAGCTGGCATGTGATACTAATACTGGAGGAATGCACTGCAGGATTTGTTGGCTTCCCTTGGAATTCCAGGCTCTGCCTTTAACCTGCACAGCTCTGAATGGTTTGGAGCTGCAAGTTTGAGCCACCATCTCCCTGCCCTCCATGGAATGGAGGTGTCTGTGGAGAACCTGCCTCTCCCAGGCCCTGAGCATCTGGAATGAACCCCTCAACCTGTGCCCCACTGCCAAACTTCCATCCAGTTTGCAAATCCTGCCAGGAGAGCTGTGAGCTGAGCACATTTATGCCTTTTGTGTGTTTTGTGTCATTTTTTACATGATTTTTGGAGTTAGGAGATGAATCACCTTTGTGTGTTGGCTGCACCAGCCTTTAGCCATAAGGGTATCAAGCAAATCTTGGAATAAAAAACTTCATTTTAGTCCAGCCAGGAACATGAGTGAAAGCTCTGGATGTGTTTTAAGCAGTAACAAGAATAAACTGTGTGGAAATGATCACATTTATAAAGTGTAGAGACACACATAGTGCAAACACTTCTATTCCTGCATTCCTAATCCAAAATTCTAACAGAGGTGCAGGCCCAGCAATGTCACCTGGATAGAAGATACAAGCTGGATAGAAAATATAAATTGCCTTTTTTATTTTTCTGTCACTTTGTTTGAATCTGGTAGAAAGAATCCATTGACTCCCAGGAATCCATTTACCTCAACATGACAGCCACAGGGAGAGATGATTTTAGCTGCTTTTAAAGAAGGAAAAAAGGAAGATTTTCCAGTTAGGTCACAGATGTCAGGGGTGTGATACCACTCATGATTACAAACAAAGGCAAGAAAATATTTTACTGATAAAAGTGGTGATATTTCATTGCCTTTTTTAATTACCAATAGTTTAAAAGCCACAAAAATAGAACTTATTTTTCTCTTCATTTCTTTCTATTTACTTCAATTTACAGCTTCATTTGTCAAAGTTCTGGTCAGGTGAGAACTTAATTTCACGTGAGAGTGTTACATTTGTGAATAAACCAAGTGAATTCCTCACTCCTTCACCTCACTCCCTGGCTTTACATATTTTTTTAAACTTTACTAAAAGAAAGACAAAATGTGCTGTAACCCCTTAATAATTAAGGCTTTGTGAATTTAAAACAAAACTCTCTGTGATATTTTAAATTTAATATTTGAGGCTTAGTCGGTTTTACTATTTAAATACAGTTTAAAGCAGGTTTTTGAGGAATGTATGTAAATAGATTTCTTGAGGGCTGTTAATCCAGACAGTTGCAGTCCTGTGTTAACATTATTGTGAGCAGAGGTAGAAAATGAAATTATTCCTCTCCCCTTTTTTTTCCACTTGGTAGAGGGAAGTATAGAACACAAGCTTAAGGGATAAATGACTTAGAAAAAGACCAAGCCTGTTTTTAGTGCAGTGCACAGCCAAACAAGCGATATTTTTCATCTCCATTGACAAAAAACTCGAATTTAAAAGCTCCAATTTGAGCACCTGAGCGTGGCTGCGCTGCCAGATCCCACACTGGGGAGAGCGGATGTCCGGTTTATCTCGGCTGTTTGAGGGGCCTGGAAGGCCCGGGGGTGGCCTTGGGGCAGCCCGCGTATCGAAGGACGAGAAGAGGCTTCAGTTCTTCTTTCTGGTTTTATGTTTATTAATTGTTTATCTAAAAGATGTTCTTTCAGCCTAACAAAGATCCGCTCAGCAGTCAGCCATGGGCACACTGTCCCGTCCCACGGACCGCCACGTATCTTTATACCCCTTGCTACGTATACAATATTTATCATTTTTCCCCAATACCATCTATTCTTATAACTCGGTGTACTCTTAGTAATAACCAATCCAAAGGTGCCACCGTGGCCAAAGAAGATGGAGGAGAGGAGGAAGAAGAAGGAGG